ACGTTTTAAATGTTCTTATAAGAGAGATCATTTTTAAATGTGCCAAGTTGTGTGTGTATATATGTGTGTTTGTGTGTATGATATACATATATCTATAGATACATAGATATATAGATATATACACACATATGCTGTGTGATTGGTAAGCAATACAATAGTAAACATGTCCCCATTACTTTTTTCTAATACTGGACCAATGCTGTCCTAATTGTACATTTCCCCTTATGATGACGACGCTCTGACTCGTTTAGGTAGAAACATTGACCATCTTCCATTCCATTGACTTTTCTTTTTCTCCTTTCTGTGTCATTCTTGAGGAAAAAAAAAACAAGAGACGGGATATCATAGATCCCCTTGAGCAGAGAAAAAGCAAAATAAATATTTTATTAAAGAAAAAAAGAGAATTAAGAAAATAGTTTGGAGTATTTTCTTACTGTAGAGAAGCACTGTACATTACTAAGAGCCCTGGGTATAAGATACTCACATGTGGAGCTGGGAAAATCGCATGTCCAAGCCCGTTGAGTGGTTTCCTTTGTTTTACATTGCAGGGAGAGGGTGGGAGGGAGGTGGGACTAGGGGCACTTTGGGGGTCTCCTTTTAGTCAAAAGCAAGAAAATGACAAGAAAGAGATTAAAACCCAGTGTTTCTTTTAATAGTGTTAAACACTAAAATTTTAAAAAAAGACAAAAATAAAAAAAAATTTGTAAAATGGGAGAACAGAAGCAAAAGACACTATGCTCTGTCATTTTATCTTTCTTTTGTTGAAAGACTAAAAACTGAAATGTTTTTTAGACAATCAAATGTTAGGTAAGTGCAAAAACTTGTTTTTTCTTACTGGTGTAGAAATTAATGCCTTTTTTTATTTTTCAGTTATTTTATAATAACAAAATAAAAAGAACCCCCCATCTGCCAGGCGGGTTTTGGTGTTTGAAATTCGGGGCAAAGCACTACATCACTGCAAATAGATACAAAGTAGTCTGCATGTCTGTAGGCTGTGTGATTGCGGAAAATATAAATGCTGCTAATATATTTCCTTTTTACAAAAGCATATCTAAATAGATGATTGTTTTGATGTTAATCTTTGTAAATTATGTATTACCAATTTTAACATTGGATGTAATTGCATAAAAAGCTTGCATCTCAATCCTTGAAAGTCTAGTATTAAATGGAAAAAAACTTTTCCTAACTGCGGAGTGGTGAGCTTGCTATTTTTTTTCCTCTTTCCTACTCTTGATTTATCTTCCAGCATCTTCTCCATCCTGTTCCAAGGAGGTCTGTCTAAGACCATGTCATCAGTATGCTAGGCTGCACATGAGCACCCTCACTGTTGACTGTTGGATACAACTGTTTCTTCAGTTCTAGGATCTTTTTAGTTGATCCAGCCTAGCCAAGGCAGCAGTTGCCACAGCATGCCTTGATGTTCTGTACATCCGCCCTTTGCTCACACATGCATTATCTCATTGAAGGCTCACAAAGAACCACTAAAGTTGGCCATAACTTCAGGCCACATTTTTTAGGCAACTGTAGTGGAACATCTCTGTAAAAAGCAGTTCCCTTGTATTTATTTGTGGTCATAACAGCCCTTTTCCAATAAATACCAAAACCCAATCTTACAAAGAAACTGAAACAGCAGACATGTTAAATAACTTACGCAAGATCACATAGCTAGTTAATCCTTAACAGTAGCCTTCTGAGCTGCTCATTCTCATTTTGTAGAAGTGAAAACCAAAGCTTGGAAAGATTCAGTAACTTGCCAAAGATAATCTTATATTGGAGCCAGGATCCCAGTCTATATTCATATTGAAAAGTTTCAAAAATAACCAAAGTGACACTACTAATTAACAAACCCACTCTTGCTAATAACTGAAAGGACAAAATTGTATGCCAGAGATGGGTCAGACATTCAGACAGGGAGCTTAGGTAGAAGTTGCTCAGAAGCAGGACAATTGACTTGAAAAGTTCTGTCTCCTACAACTTCACACTCAGATCAGTCTCTGAGCCACAAAAACAATGCACTAGTGTTAAATTTTCTTAAATTTATCTTTTGGTTTCTTTCGCTTGTTTTTTAATACAGGGTCTCGCTGTGCAGCCCAAGCTTGCCTCAAACTCACAGCAATCTTCCTGCCTCAGCCTCCCCGAGTGCTAGGATTATAGGCGTGTACACCGTGCCTGGCTGAGATAGGATCTTGCTAAATTGCCCATGTTATGCTCAAACTTGCCATCTTCCTGCCTTAACTTTCCAGAGTATTAGGATTACAGGCATGCCTCGTTTGCTTTTTGGGTTTTTTGTTGTTGTTATCTCCTCTAGCTATTCTAGTCTAGATGGTACATGATAATGTTACAAAACTAAACTTTCTATTCTTTCTCCTATTTCATGTTCTGCAAGGAGATCCTACTGCTGTTACTACTTATGTAAGCCTGAGAACCACTGATGCGCTAACAGTTTGCTGGGATTTTTTTTTTCTTTTTTTTTTGTACAGGAATCAAACTCAGAACCTTGTGCTTGCCAGGCAGGGTTGTTTTGTTGTTGTTGTTGTTGTTGTTTGGGGTTTTTGTTTTTTGTTTTGCTGGGATTTCATACTTATTTGGATCTCACACTCTGAAATCAAGCACATGGGAATGTGATGTAGAACCAAGTTGCATTATGAGAAATACCAGCTATTATCACTATTTCTTACCCATAAGTTATGGGTCCCAAAGACTACTCTGCAGATCTTTGAGAAATACTGGTTCTAGTATCCAAGTAATAGCAGTCTTCCATATGCACAGATAACGTTCCTTTTTTGGGTGGGTGGGCCAATCCTTCCCTAGGGATTGTTTCAGGTTTTTTGGGTTTTTTTTTGTTGTTGTTGGGACAGGGGTGGTACCGGGAATTGAACTCAGGACCTTGCACTTGCCAGGCAGGCACTCTGCTGCTGAGTTACATCCCTGGACCCATACCCTAAGGATTGTAACTCAGGGTTCTTTCCACTGAACTACATGCCCACTTTTTTTTTTTTTTTTTTTTTTTTTTTTTTGACATGGTCTTGCTATGTAGTGCAGGCTGGCCTTGAACTCCTTTATGTAGCCCAGGCTATCCTGGAACTCATGGTGATTCTCCTGTCCCAACTCGCGAGTGCTGGAATTACAGGTGTGTACCACTATGCCCAGCTTTCATCCTCTAACTTTAAATGTGAAAATAGAACTTCATTTGTTGCTGGCAAGAAGATTACCATGAGTTGAGTCCCTGCCTAAAAAAAAAAAAATTCATATATGTATGTATGTGTGTGGTGTGTGTGTATATGTATATATATATACACACACACATACACAAAATTAGTAAACTAAATTTAAAATGTATAAATACTAATTAACGCCCGGCGTGGTGGCGCACACCTGTAATCCCAACACTCGGGAGGCTGAGGCAGGGGGATCATTGTGAGTTCAAGACCAGCCTGGGCTACAAAGTGAGCTCAA